TCTATTATCCCTAACCACTTCCTCTAAACTCATTCCCCCTCTTCCTTATAATCTTAGCCATCCCTGTTAACTGATAGGTGAGAATTACTGAATAGAAATGGAAGGACCTGATAGTCAGATGTGTTAGGTGGGGTTGACTAGAGAAACAAATCCAGAGACATCTATATGTATAAAAAAGAGCTTTATATAAAAGAGTAATTGTATATTATGAAAACATCCCAACCCAGTCCAAACCAAGTCCATAAGTCCAATATTAAGACATAAGTCCAATACTAGTCCATAAATCCCTCTTCAGACTCACACAGCACACACAATGATACAAAAGGCAGGAAGATCTCAAGCCATTGGATGCAAAGTCTAGTGGATCCAGTGGCAGTGCAAGTATCTGCAGGGCTCTTGCTGGTCACAGCATGACTTCACGTGGCTTGTCAACAGGAGGGTAAACGCTGAGGGGGGGAGGGGGAAGGGAGGGCTCCAATGAGCCATTTATCTCTGGTTGCCCTCCAATCAAGCTGCGACCTGATTGGCAGGCTAAACCCCACCCACATGTTCCTACAGGAGCCATATTGGCACACACCAAAAAACCCTATCCCAGCAGACTGCATGATCATAAGTGTTAGAAAGTATTGCTATAAGTGTTCCCAGTGTAATGCAGTTCATACATGCATAACTTTATCCCAAACAAAACATATTAAACTTATCTCTGCATTCAGACACGTGATTATAGACAAGTCCTCTCAGGAGTACATTTATCTTAGTCTCCTTAGAGTACCTTCAAAAACCATAGGTCCAATCAAAACAAAAACAGTGGCTTCTGAGGGATTTGCTGGACTAGTAAATTCAAGAAGTAGAGATCAGCTCAGAAGGTATGGCAACAAGGTTGTGGTTTCCAAAGGGGTAGTTTTGATACAGTTTCTCAAAGGACACAGGTGATCATTGGGGATTACGATGAAGAAGTTTTAAGAAAATTGAAAAGTACCGTGGTGATAAAAGACTTGGAAAGTTGTGTCAAGGCAGTTCTTTTTTCCATCCGGGCAATGTTCTTTCCCAGTCTTTTAGGATAGCAGAGACTAAGGATAGTGTGGCCCGTCTTACAAGACTTTCCCTGGTATACTCTATCCCATCCATGACCCCTACAACCCTCATCTTGCCCTTTCAGACTTTTTAATCTGTGCCCCAAACTAACAGGGCATCTAAAAGAAACACTGCTTGAGTCCTTCCAGGGTGCCCCAACTGCCATTTGGATGCCATGTAAATTGAAGAGCACAGAATTCTCCAGGCAAGGTTGACAGAAATGGCAATACCACCTTCAGAAGTCTAGAGACCTAGTGGAGGATGTGTCAAGAAAAGAAAGTAGCTTCACATTTGGATATTTCTGCATAATAAAGGTTTCTATGATGTTGTAGCAATACTTTTCCCCCCTTATCATCATCTAAAGATTTTTAAAGTAGCTAGTAGCCAGTATCCTCTCAGAGTTATGCGTGTATACAACAGTTTTGATTCGAAATAATCTCACAAAACACACACACACGCTTTCTATTTCATAAAAACTGAAAATCCATTTCAAAATCCTTCATTTTAATACATGAAAATCATGTCTTGCCTAGAAAGTGTGGGGCACCCTCGATAAGTAATTTGGTCTAGTGTTTGCATCTTAACTGAGGAGATGATACGTGGAGTTCATGTTAGTGTATGCCTTTGCCAAGTTAACTATTATCATATTTGTTCGAATTTTGTGTAGCATATCTACCTACTTAAAGAAATGATCAGAAGAAACATGTGGATGTAGTTCTAGGAGAATCTGTAAATGAAACTTACCTTGAGCTCTGCCCTGTACAGATACAAGCAGTAGCTTGTTTTCACTTTATTATACAGGTTACATTGAGCAAGCAGACTTCCTTAATATTAATTCTTAAATTACTGCAAACCCTTTAGCCTTTTTAGAAGATCTAGATCAGGGATACTTTACTGTCAAGTGTAATACAATGACCCAAGATGGTCTCAGATGTTTATTCAAAAAGAGGGTGAGGATGATAAACAAATTCCAAACCTTGGACATGTAGCCCACCCCCCAGGGGGACAAATAACAGAAATGTGGGTAAATGGAGACAACAGACAGTATAAAAGACACAAAATAACAAAAATAATATGTAACTGATCAAGGATGAAATATTGTTGGAAACAGATGTACACGTGTGCTTAAAACAATTGAATGATGGATTGTTATAAGATTTGTAAGAACCCCCCAATAAAGTTATTTTTTTAATTCCAAACTGGATCATTCTATTTTTAAAATTTAGCTATCTTCTTTTAAATAGAGAACTTGGGACTTGAGATATGCTTTAAATCCGGCTTTTACAATTGCATGTAGGAGGATTTGTATATCGTTTGGGTTGTGAAATGCCTACTGAGTCGATTCCAACTTATAGTGACCAGTTATGACAGGATAAACTGCCCCTGTGAGATTCCGAGGCTGTCACTCTCAACGCAGTAGAAAGCTTTTTGTCCAGAAGAGCAGCTGGTGGTTTCGAACTGCTGATTTTGCAGTTAGCAGTTCAATGTGTAAAGACTATGCCACCAGAGCTCTTTTTGGTTTAGGCGATACATATGAAATATTTACTATGTGGATTGTTAGCAAGGCATAGTCCTTGCTTTCAGGAAATAAGAATTGTACACAAATCACTATAATGTAAGGCAGAAAGTATGTGTTATAACAGAGGGTGTGACAATATTATGAAAGACGAAAAGAAGAGATATTCTTGCTAGGGATTATTAGAAGAAATGTTCATGAAGGAAATAGCTATAATGTGATTCAGAGTCACAGAGTGGACAGAAATGTGAGACCCAGCAAAGTCAACAAAAAGCATATCACAGCTGCCTTTCAACGCCAGGAAGTCAGCAACCCCACCTGGCTGGAGACTTGAGGAAGGGAAATGAAGCTGAGGAGCAGTTGACCATAAAGATCACCAAATGTCATCAACGGGATAGGAATTCATTTTGAAGCAGCTAAGAACCTCTGAAGGAGAAATAAGCAGAACTGTATCTTTGAGAGGTTATTTTGATACCTGTGTATAAAATAACCCAAAATATCAGTTCTGGGAAGACCAATATAGAAGCCATTGCCGCATTCAGCCATGCAAGTGTGAACTGAGAGAGCTTAACCAAAGGAGATGGCAGTTGGATCAACTGAAACAGGAACTAGAAACAGGGGAGTGGAGTGGAGAGGCACAGTGATGAGCGATGGCTAGAACTTGGGGTCTGATGGCAGCAGTGACCGTGAGGTTGACAGAGAGAGGGAAGGATGAGTGTTGAGGAAAGAAGAAAGATGACATTTCATTTATCTGATAAATATTGATGGAGCCATGTGTCAGGCACCGTCGTGGGATACAAGATGATTGCATTTAAAATTTTAAAGCACTCTATGTGTAGGCAGGAGGCACTATATCAATCAGTGTGACGCCAGGGCAGAACCGAGTGGATATAAGGTAGAAAGCAAAATATCTTTCTAATACATAGAGGCTTCCATTTATTAGTGAATGTAAGTAAGTAGCAAGAGCTCTGCTGTAGGCAGTATTCAAGCAGAAGGCGGTTGCTATTCTTCCAGGAAGACTGGGACAAGGGATTCCAGGGGGGAGTTTCAACTAACCTTTCTGCATGGTCTCTCCCAATCTCCAGTCTATTCTTTCTGATGATCTAGTCCTGTGAGTTCTATTATTAATCTCCTGCTTCTCCCAATTATTAAATGAGTTATGCAGTCTGCCTGCCATTCAGTAAAACTCACACATTTACATCGGTTGTTCTTGAATTATCTCGGGGTTGGGCACTGCAGTTAAAAAAAAAATTATTCCCAGTGAATGTTACCTTTATAGCTAACTTAGAATGGGAACACTGGTAGATTGGGTTATGAATATCAGGGGAAGTAAAAAAAGGGTTTTATTGTTTTTTTCTTTTTTTGCCTAAATGTTTTTGTTTGGAAGGAAAAAAAATCCTGCCAACAAGGCATGCATTTTCTTGCCTTCGAGAGAGTAATGTAGTTTCTAAATTTTGCAGGAATTCAAGGAAGAAAAACATATCACGGAGAGGTTCATTTGGATACAGCATGCTAAAGAAAAAAGAATAATTATTCTCCAAACACTGTAAAGCCCCAGCTCAGGAGCGTGTCTCTGCGCTGCCCTTAAATAAAAGAAGCAAACGGGCAGGAAAGGGAGAAAACGAGAGCTGGGGTGAAGCACCCGGAGAGCTCTCGCGAAAGCTTTGCATTTCCCGGTGTCTTTTGAAACGTAAAATTCCACAACAAATAGCCCCGGGGTAACCAGGATGAAGATTCAATTCAGATTTAAGCACTTTGGTTTTGCTTTTGAATCTTGCTATTTTCTGCATCTGTTTGGACTGCTCTCATCATTCAAGATTGACGCTCGGATGGGTGTGTAGGAGGGAGCAGCAGCAGCAGGCTTACAGCTTGCAGACAAAAAAAAAAATCTGCCTTATCTGATGGCTATTATTGAAAATGCGAGGTGTAGCCTAGGCTGGGTAATGAAGGGGAGCGAGCGAGGGGGAGCCAGGAGCATGGAGCTGCATACTGATGAGTGTAGGAGTACTTGATAAAAGAGAGTTCTGGCTGCCGGCCGCGCTCGGCTCATTGTGGAGTAGTCCAACAATCACGTAGAACGCAGCCCAGCCCAAGCTGACAGCTTGATGTGCCTTCTTCTGCCGCCTGGTTTGGGGGGCCGTATGACGTACTGGTCGGTAGTAAAGATTAATATGTAAGAAATGTGGAGCTAGGATCGAGTCAGACTCCACAGCCTGCCTGGCAAACTATGTGTTACTTCTGACTTTGCTGTCTCGCTGAGAACATTCATCTGTCAAGCTGGCGGGCTCTTTTGATAGCAACTTTCCCAGGGGCATGATGTGGCAATGCCACCTCTCAGCCCAGGACTACCGCTATTACCCCGTGGACGGCTACTCCCTGCTTAAACGCTTCCCTCTTCATCCTCTTGCAGGACCCAGATGCCCTGTCCAAACAGTGGGACAATGGTTGGAAAGCATTGGGCTACCTCAGTACGAGAACCACCTGATGGCTAATGGATTTGACAATGTGCAGTTTATGGTAAGACGCTCGCTCTCTGTGTCCACGGAGCTGCCTTTTGTCTGTCTTTGCTTCTTCTGTGTCGTCCACGGCTCAGAGGCAGCCGGATTTGCAGTGAAGCGGGTCAGATTTTTATACATGTAACGGCATCAGGGAATCGGATGCCCTTAGGAAAGAACTTCTTATGTACATAACAGGCACTTGCTGGAAATGAGATCCGTGTGCATCCATTTACATCTGTATCATATGAATGAACTGGTGAGAGAGGACTAGTTATAGGCAGCGAAGGAAGATCGGGTTTATCGTCTCCCTGACATTCTTTGTGTGATTTTTAGACATTTGTGATTTTAGAATACCCCACTAGGCTTGTATCACTCGTCAGCAAGCGCAGGACTCTTAAAGCATGCTATTTCATTCGAACATCGGTCTTCAGGGATTCAGTAGGCGATCGATCGGTGGTGTTTTCGGTGTGAGGACCTCTTTTTCTCTTCTTCTAATAATGGTTCAATAAGCAGTTTAAAGTGTGCGGGCAATCTTCTGTTCATTAGCAACCTGCTTCAGATTCAGATGGTCAGGGATGGAGAGCATTCACTGACTTACACGTGCTGGTTGAAGAGCAATGGGGTATTGTTTATTACTTTGCGAGGACAACAACACTTCGGTCAACGAGTTGCTGATGTTTAGGAAAAGAGGTTGATGGATTAAGTCCATTTGTGTCTTTCCGAATGCTAGTTGACAGGCGACCTGAACCTGGTGGGTGCAAACTTCCCACAGAGACGAATGTAGGGGAGGGAGGGGGATGAGAAGCAGAGCTTTCTAATCATTGACATGCCTCCCGCAGCACTTGACACTTTCTCTTGTTAAACTACCTCACTGCCCCTGTGGCCTTGGCTCTCTTTTAAGTCCCATCACACATCTAACTAATCCCTAAATTTAGAGAGACCTACATACCAAGAGGCATGTGGCACAGAAATGGCTTGTGGAAACAATTAATGGCTGTTTCTCAATAAAATGCTAGGTCTGACACCTGCAGCTTTTACTTACCCCAATTGAGAACACAATCCCGAGATCATTTTATTTCCAATCCACCATAGTAGATTATTGAAACGACTAAATGTCTGCCTCTTCCTCCAAAAATTTGTATTCCAAAGAGCTGGGGGAAAAACAACAACAACACAAAACCACCCACATAAATGCAGTAAGGCATATGAGCTCTAAATAATTGTGTATAGAGAGCCATTGATAAGCCTATCCTTTTAGAACAAAATATGCAGTTCCTGTTATTTTTGAAGTGTTTCTTGACTACTGCCACTGTTTAGATCGACGACGGGATAGGGCAGGTCCTTAGAACAAAAGTGAAAGTTCTTTCATTGCTATGAATGTCGTAAGAGACTGTGTCAATTCAGGACAGACTTAAGACACCTCACAGATGACACTAAGAATCAGTGTCACCGCAGAAGAGCCGCGGTGGCACAGCGGTTAAGCACCAGCTGTTGACCCACAGACCAATGGTCCAAAGGCACTAGCTGCTCTTTGGGAAAAGAGTGCCACTCTTCATCCATAGGCTATAGCCGTGGAAACCCTATGGAACAGTTCTCCGCTGCACTCTGGGGTTCAAAGCAGTCCAAAGCAACTGGAAGGCATTGGGTTTGGTTTGGATTTGTAAAACATAAGGAAAGTCTTTTCACCAAGATCTATATCTACTGTACATTTTGATAACTCTGCATTGTTTTTCCTCTATCTCCACATGAAGCAGGGCTTTCTCATTCCCAATACCACCCCCATCCCCACCCACTAACCTTTGTCCATATCTGTCCTGGTCCTGTAGTTCTGAAGTGAGTTCTCCCGAGCCCCTGGGTGGTTTGACTAGTCTGAAAGATGTTAAGTTAGCTTCATTTTCCTCTGAATGCTAAACACTTCTGAGCAAATACAATCTTTGTTTGGAAGCCTGGAACGGAAAGGTTAATCAAACAGGTTTCAGATTAGCATTTGGAGAGGCGTCCTAAAAAACCTTAATGAATGAATGATGTATTTTTCTAAGGAAAAAAAATTGAAAGTGTATGAGGGAGAGAAGAATCCTGAGCATCTGTGACAAGACCGAGGTCTGATATTCTCCACAGATGATTAATTTTGTTTATATATAATTCCAACTATTGCATATAATTTTCTAGAAAATAACAGAGCATTGTTTATTCAGGTGGCACCATCAAATACTTTGTTCATGAGACAGAATTTTTAAAAATTTTGAATTATCATTTAGAAAAGATAGTTATGAAAATGAAGCAAACCATAAAATAGTGTCATTAATCTGTGCTTCACATGTTGTTCTGACCATTTGTTTGCTACTCGCATCATGAAAGACCACTTTCTACCTTTATAAAACATATTTGTCTTCCATGGTGGAATTTATTTCATTATTAACTTAGTCAAAGCAAATTAATGAGATTGACTCACTTGAAGAATCAGAAGAATCTGTTAGACCTGCTTAATCTTCATTTGCTATCACATTCTAGCTGTTGTTTTCCTTTGAGCACATTCTGACCTGCATTTAGTCTCCTGTTGCCTAAGCAACAACCACCACACTCCCATTCACTATGATGTAGTGCAGGTCTTATTAGCGTTTTAAAACAAGACAGGAGACATCAGGGGTTATAATTAATGTTGGTTGAAACAGCATATTACATACAGGCATAGATAAATTTTATTTAGGAAACATTCTCAAGAGTTAATTTTTTTCATTTAATCAATTTCCCATTAATGAGCATGGGTTTAGAGTGACCATATAAGTAACGTTCAAAGTAAAGTGCTTATTGAATGCATTAGCATTTTTTTTGTTCTAAATCTCGTCTATGTTCTCTCACACCTGTGCACAAATATAAGTGATTTGTTACATGGCTATGATTAACCTCAAAAAATATAGAGCACTTTCTAGACATAGAACCAAGAAACTTTTAGCTATCCATGACTTACTTTTTCTTCTTCAGGCTATTAAATCTTAACTTTTATTTTATAGCACGTAAATTATTTTTCAATATCTTCAAATCAGAATACCAAATTGTTCTTTATATATTTAGTTCTGACTTTTGGAATTGCTGTGCAAATAGCATGGACACTTCTGCTCCCTTGAAGCTATAACATTGATAGAAATCAGTGCAATTAAAAAATAGCTACAAAAGTACCTCAGGTCACATACTTCAGGCAAGTTACATCGATGTTCCATTCAGTGGTTTAAAATCAAAAGCCCCTTCAAAAGGCTTCACCCTACGTGTTCATCCCCTCGGATGTCCTTTATCAAGTCCTTCCTTCTGGTAGGGCTTATCTACCTGCTGCTCAGGAGTCTCTGGGCAAGCTGCCACTGTGCTCTAGCGTCACATCTCTTCTCCCTGGTTTGGAACAGATAGAACGTGCATATGCTTCAAATCACTCTTTTGGTTTTTTTAACCCTACACAGTACACACAATTATCTCTGTCCTTAATATATTTGTTTCTACCGTCCTTTTCCTTTTTTCCAAGTCTGCTATTTCCTATATTTGAGGTTCAGTCTACTTACTCTTTTCTTAAAGACTTTGCCCATTTCTTCTCTCTCCTCTCACATCCAGAACTGCTCATGCCTTCCTGTCCCCACTGTATTTTCTCCCAAAGTCTAACCCAAGTCATGCCTAATTCAAATAATGCTCCTTGATGGCATCAGTCCACAGCTGCCTCTCTGTTCCCTGAACTCCTGCAGTAGATACATTTGGAATGAAAAATTCCATTTGTCATGTCATTATTCACTCCGTAGAATCTGGAGCTGAGTTTTTGCTTGGAAACAGCTTGTCTCAAACTAGATTGGGAGCTCCTCAAATCCCAAGTTCTGTGTAACCAATTTTCTTGCCTTCTCACAACTGCACAAGGCTGTGAGCCTAGTCATCACCCTATGGTTTCTGTAGAACGAAACCTGCAGCCTCATTTTAAAAGAGAAGTCTTATTTGGCCAATGGGAATGTAGAGCATTAGTACCCATCATTTATTTACTCAGTAAAGCACTTAACTACTGTCTATGAGTCAGGGCCAGTGTATTGTAAGAGGTGTATATAAGAGTCTAGGTCTCATGTAGGTACAGTATTTTCCTTAGGTTTACCAACGTATTTGCATACATGCATAATGTCCCAAGGATCTTGCCTCTTGATCTTCCATCAGTTGCCATCCATTGGCATATGAACTTACTAGCTATAATTTTTCAGCATCAAATTGCAGTAGGCAATAAACAACCAAACTCACTGCCATCGGGTTGATGCCAACTCATAGCAACCCGATGGGACAGGGTAGAACTGCCCCTGTCAGTTTCCCAGACTAACACTTTTAAGGGGTTAGAAAGCCCCATCTTTCTCCTGCAGAACAGCAGGTGGTTTCGAACTGCTGACCCTATGTCTAGCAGCCCAACTGGTAACTCCTTAACATGTATCATAGTGTGGCATAAAGGGACACAAAGTTGTTGATAACATCAAAACATTGGCAGTGCCAAGAGCCCAAGTGGAAAACAAATGTTTTGAGAATGATGAGGACAACGAATGTACAAATGTGCTTTATACAATGGATGGATGTATCGATTGTGATAAGAGTTGTATGAGTCCCCAATAAAATGATTTAAAAAAGAAAAGAAGCAAATCAGAAAGAAAGGAAACAAAAGTGTGACAAGGGTATAAGGTATAGGACATCGAATTTAACCATATGACTATGATTTCTTGTTTAGTCATTACAGCTCATATGCATGAAAAATGCTCATGATATGGAAAATGCCTTATGGAACAATTTTGGGCAAATAAAGCATACATTGCATATGGCAAAAAAAAAAAATGGCAGTGTTAGGGTAGACTTATAGCCCAAAAATTGTATTAAGAAGCTCAAATTATTTGAAGGAGGGATAACTCATATCTTCACATGATCACTAGTTGAAAGTTATATTTGTAAGCAAATCAAAAGAGCCGGACGAATGAAACTTTCCTGACTCCTTGTTGAGCCTGTGCACTGCTTGGACCCATT